ATCATCTGAGCAGAAAAATCAACAAGGAAACAATGGCTTTGAATGACACACTAGACTGGATGGACCTAACAGATACATTCAGAACATTTCATCCTATAGTAGTGGAATACACATTCTTTTCAATATCTAAGTCCTCCCCCAAGTTAGGGAAGTTTTCCAATATAATTTGCTCAAATGAACCTTCTGCTCCTTTTTCTTTCTCTTCTTCTGGGACTCCTTTCATACGAATGTTATTATGCCTTATTGAGTTGCTGATTTCCCCAAGTCTACATTCATGATCCAATACCTTTCTTTACCTCTTTTTTTCAGCTTCATTATTTTCCATAATTTTTTCTTCTATACCACTGATTTGTTTCTTTGATTCATCCATCCTCATTGTCATTACACCCATTTGGTTTTGCATCTTGGTTGTAACAATTTTTTATTTCAGCCTGACTAGTTTTTGGTTCTTTTATCTCTGCAGTTCTTTTATCTCTGCACATTCTCTAGTGTCTTCTATGCTTGTCTCAAGCCAAGCTAGTACCCTTATGATTATTGTTTTAAATTCTGTTTCAAACATCTTATTTGTATTTGCAGTGATTAAATCCCTGGCCATGACTTCTTCCTATTTTTTTCTTTTTTTTTTTTTAATTTATTTTAATTTTTTAATTAACATATAATGTATTATCTGTTTCAGGGGTATGAATTCCCCCATCTTGTCATTTTGTCTGGGTCACTGTTTTTTGATGTGTGTGATTGTTAGGAAAGCCTGTTTTATTCCTGCTCCTGAGAGTAATGACTATGTTAAAAGAGGTCCAAAACAAAACAAAACAAAACAAACAAAAAAGAAGCTAGATCCTAGGTGTGTTTTGGTCTGCTTGTTAAAAGAAGCTAGATCCAGAAAAAAATAAAATAAATAAAATAAATTTCAAAAAATTAAAAAAATTGTTTTAAAAAGGAAGCTAGATCCTAGGTGTGTGTTGGTCTGTTCATTAAAAGAAGTTAGATTAAAAAAAAAAAGGCGGGGGGGGCAGTTAAATCCTATTTCCCCTAGAGTTGAAGGTTTAGGGCACTCTGATCAGTTGACTTGGTATGTGTGAGGAATTTGTGCTGGGATTCTGGGGGAGGGACAGCCTGCTCTGAATCTCAGATGAACTTGCCCTAATGAAGATGCAGCTGCAGGGCACGGGAGGGGGGGTTGGGGGGGTTGGGGGTTGGAGGGGCGGGGGGGGGGTACCCACGGGGAGGTGCTGTAGGACTCCATGTAAACAGCTCTGGCCTCCACTGGGTGGTGCTGTTTTGCTCCCTGAAGTCAATCAGTGCTGATGACGATGGAGAATGGTATTGCCCCACTCTTTCATCCCTAGAGCAGGGAGCTCACTCCCACCACTCTTCAGGAAACCCTCTCAGAAGAGCAAACAATTACTCTCTTGTGTCCCAGGCTTCTGCTAGATCCCTGCCTTCACCCTGCCTGTGTCTGAGCTGTCCACCTGCCAAGCAACATAGCACTCCTGTGTTTTATCTCAGGCACAAGTGGCTGGGTTTCAAAACTCCAAATTTAGAGATCCACACAGTCTGGACTGGTGCTGATCCTCTGGGGGAGGGTCTTGCTGCACCAGTGCCTGTTTGTCCCAGAAATCAGTTGTGCAACCATGCAGCAATTCATAGTTTACGGTAAAGTACAGCTAAAAGCTGACATGAAGGTCTGCTGCCCTCAGGTGGTATCTTTGTTCCTATGCTAGGGCACAGGACAGCATGCTGGTGCTGCTGGTTCTTTTGCCCCTGAAGAGCCTGTGCCACCACTCTCAAATATACTTCAAGCAGCTTCCCTGTGACCCAGGGGATCCTCAGACCACGCTGCCCACTCCTGTATCTCCACCCCCCTTCTCCACTGGTGTACCACCAATCCTGCCAGGTACAACCCTGGCCATGGTGCAGACCTCCAAAACTTCAGACTCTGTGCTCTGAGTATTCAGGGATGCCTGGGTGTCTCAGTCAGTTAGGCATCTGACTCTTAATTTCAGCTCAGTTCATGATCTCAGGGTCATGGGATCAAGCCCTGCCTTGGGCTCCACTTTCAGTAGGGAGCCTGCTTGGGATTCTCTTCCTCTCCGTATGCCCCTTCCCCTATTCACATTCTCCCTCACTCTAAAGTAAATAAATAAATCTTAAAAACAAAACAAAACAAAACAAAACTTATGGTATTTGGTCCCTCTCCCTTTCCCAGTCAATGGTTTTGGAAAGGTTTCTCTTGTGCAATTCCCTCTATGTGCTTTCACTCTCTCTCTCTCTCTTTCTTTTTTTCTCCCTCGCTCTTCTTTCCGTGATCAAGGCTCCCTCCCCTTCATAGCACCTGCAGCTCTTCTCTCCCCCAAATCAACTCTCCACAGATCCTACCTTCCAGGATGTGACATTTTTTTTTCTACCTCTAGTTGTGCAATTTTGCTCTTTCCATCCTCAGATCAGTTTTTTGGGCGTTCAAAATGATCTAGCTGTGTTCAAGGGATGAGGCAAGCTTTGGGTCCCCTTATTCCTCCACCATCTTAACTACTCCTCCCTTTGTTTTTCAGCTAATATTATCTAGTTCTCTCCACCCACCAAATGGTGGGCTTCTAAAATCTACTCCAACACAATGCACAAACTTCAACAGTCATGTATAGCATTTATACAAATTGTATCCGTTTGTAGATTTATCTTAATTAGACTTTGTTGCAGGAATACTTAAATAGTAAGGATAGTATCAGGGTCATATTGGAATGCCCAGAAATGTAGTATTAACTTAGTATAAAATCAAACTTAACATGGTCTCCATAAATATTTATCTTGCAATACCATTAGATAATTAATAAACAAAATGAAATTCCATTTAATAGAGTGAAAGTAGAATTTTAAGCTGCAATAAGAGTTGCCAAAAGGTAATAAAACAGCTCCCAAATACTGAAAGACATCAATTATCAATCTAAAACTGTATTTCCAGCTAACTACCATTAAAGAATAAGGTAAAATAGTCTCAGCAAAAATGAAAAGAAAAACATGAAAGTGCTTCTTTAAGAAAATTTTAATGACGTGTTTATCAAAGAACCCAGAACAACACAGGTTTAAACTGCACAGGTCCACTTACACCTGGATTTTTTTTTTTTTTTGAGAAAAATATAGTACAATACTATAAATCTATTTTTTCTTCCTTATGATTTTCTTAACATTTTCTTTTCTTTTTCTTTATTGTAAGTATACAGTACATACTACCTATAACATACAAAATATGTGTTAATCAACTATGTTATCAGTAGGCTTCTCGTCAACAGTAGACTATTAGTAGTTAAGTTTTTGGGTGGTTAAAAGTTATAACCAGATTTTCAACTGTACAGGGGGTCAGCACCCATAATCACCACATTTTTCAAGGGTCAACTATATGTTTCACTAGGAAATTTCTATTTTTAAAAAAGAACTGATGTTAAAAGAACCTGTGAGCAAAGAAGGTGGTATATATATGAGTGATTTCAATTAGCATCATTTGTATAAAACACACAACTAATGATAATGACTAACTTGGGCATGAGAATCATAATAGAACTAAAATACTTGACAACAACATGTAAGGTGACAAGGAGTGGGTTATGGATAAGAGTTAAACTGTGCCAAGGCCTTGTATTATTTGATAGTAGAGATGTTAATTAAGATTATATTCTGTTAGATTTTAATGGCAACCACTATAGGATGTATGTAGAATGTTGATCTTCTGGATCAGCAAAATAAGTATAAAATTACAAAGAAAACTTAAATGGCTCAAAAGAATATAAGAGGACAGAAAACGGGCTAGACCTAGAGAAGTAACTATAAAACTCACAATCACATCCTAGTAAGTCCCCAAAGGTACTGGGAAAATTAGCCTCAGCAGTTAAAGAGCACAGATTTCTAGATTGGGAAAACTATAAAGGGAAATGCAATTTGGTGATAACTCTCTGAGAAGTTTCGTATCAATGTATATGAAGAATCTCACATCGATTTACCTTTTTTAATTAAATAATACCATTTCTAGTAACTAGTAATTTATCCACAAGAGGTAATTAGAAGTGGCAGTTGAAGAAATATACACATACTGAGACACACATAAACACAGAAATGCTTCATGCTGTGCAAAAAAAAAAAAAAACAGGTTCCCAAAACCCTCTATACAATAAGAACTAAAGTTCATAAATTTTAATTTTTGTCTATTTCTTTTCTTTTTTCTTTTATTAGTAAACAGAAAAGATATAAAAATGCCACAATGTTAATGGAAATCCTTTCCTGATGATGGGCCTTTAGGTAGCCAACTTTTTTTTCTTAAATATTCTCTTGATATTTATGACCAAGAAAATGCATTATTTTTGTAATCAGAAAAATACTGTAATTTTTCTGCAGGAGTGTGTTTCAATTGTACTTCATATACAGGATAATTAGGTTGAGGCTCATAGTGCCGAGAGAATGTACACCGTGCATTTCTTTATAGTCTTGCATGTGTATGTGTCATGCATGTGTGTGGATTGCCTTGTACAAATTTTATAAGAAGCTTGAGGTCGGTGTTGTTCTTATCTGTTTTTACAGATAAGGAGACTAAAAGTCAGAGGAATTACAATATGCAAGTTTGTAAGACTTTACCTAGTACTTGCTTTATCGATTCTGTGTTCTCTGCGCCAACTTCTCAAAATATGTATGGACTACTAATATATTTTTTAAATTTGTAGATCAATTTCTATAAAGCTACTGAATGGCAATTGTGGTGGTTCAGTTTGGTGAGTATGCAAATACGTACACGGGCATCTCGGTCTCAGTTGATTCTTTCCCACCACTATAGGAACACCAGGGCCAAGCCGCTGTCCAGACATAAATTCCCTAACAAGCTGTAACCACAGACATAAACACCTCTCTTAAATGAGGAACGTTCTCATGATCTTGACACTGCAATTTCTTGGCAATTTCCCAACACCATTAAGAAACATTGCCTAAACTCACAAAGAATGCTTGAGGTTTTTTTTTTTTTTAATTTTGCTTTGTTTTTTGTTTTTTGTAAAGAGAAGTAGAGGAGGATAAAACTGGACCGCTGGGGAGGCCAGTTTCATGCTGTGTGGCACTTCTCAGCTATCTGCAGTAGGCAAGATGTCTTTGGCCCTACTTTCTGTCCTCTGGCTCATCATTCAAACTCAAGGTAAGCACTAAAATACTGACGTTTTATACAAAAATCAAATTATTTAATGCATTTTTAAGGTACCCTTGAAAAAGTAACATTCTTATATGACCCAAAGATCACTACTGTTTGCATTTTGATATATTTACTCAATTTATATAAACTCCATGCTCAGAGTCAAGGTGTGATTTGTATAATAATTTAGTTAGGGTGCACCTGAAATTTTACTTCTCATTCAATAATTCTACTAGATCTATAATTGTATTTTCTAAAACATACAGCCCAAATAACACCAGAGGATTAACTTCCAGACCAGAAATCAAGAATTTTCTCACCATCTCCAATGCTATCTTGAATAACATTGATATTTTCTACTCCATAAAGAGACCATCATCTATCAAGACACAATTTGACCAAAAATTGTGCTAGGATGGATGACAAGGAAGACTTTTAAGTAAAATTAGCAATAGACATAATTACAGTATTAAGCAAAATTAAAACTTAATTGACCAACTGAACAGTTAAAGACTAAAATTTATTAAAATTTATTCTAACCTCAACCCCACAACTCTTTCCATTAACTGGATTCATATTCTCCATTGATAAAAAAAAAAAAAACTTTTAGTAATATATTTATAAATTTCCTGTTTCCCTGTGTAATGAGTCCATCTTGGGATAGCATCATAGCAGAACTCTGGGGTCTGAATAGGAGAAAATTTTTGCTTGATTATTTTCCTTCAGGTTCTCCACATCAGCCAGGTGTTAAACTGCTTGGTGTTCCCAAGGTCACCCTGTCTTTCAGTGGGAAATTGCCTCTAAGCACAGACATTTATCTTTGAAAATGGGAGCATTTAAAAATAAGACTGACCTTACATGAGTGATTGAACAATTAAAAGAAAGGGTAGATAAGGTGCACCTACCATCTTACTAGACTGGTGCTGCATAATTTTATATATTTTATGTTATTCAATTTTTACATCAACCTCCATTTTAGATAAGTAAACTGATAGGAAAGCAAAATAACTTTTATAAGGTCATTTAGCTAGGACTTAAGACCACATCCTTTGGCTCTGATATCAGTTCTCTTCCTACTATATGCAAGCAAAATATAAAATTGTCTGTGAAATATTATACCAAGTGTATCAAGAAGGACATTTAGCCTACTTGCTGTCTGATTTTCCTACTTGCTACCTGATGCTTTGAAATTGCTCCAGCAAGGGATAACACAAACTTTGTTTCCTATGAAATCTGAAGTCTTGAGGGTAAATGCTAATGAGAGGAAAAACATATTGGTTTATTGTTACACTTAGAAATAAAATAGTGGTTAATAGAGTCTTTCCTAATAATGAGGTATTATCTGCTTATGAAAAATTTGATTTTTGGAAGAGGTAGTCAGGGGTTGCACCACAGAGAGAAAAAGACATAGAAAGCAAAAACAGAGATCTCTGAGAACACTAAGAGAAAAATCCACAATTTTGAGGAGGACTATAGAGGAAGAGGGAACTGGACTACAAGGCAGAATCCTGGTTCCTAGAAGCTTCCATGTACTGAGAAATCCTCTGAAGAATTATTTCATCATCTCCCTGTCTTTCCAGAATAAGTAGATAGAGCAAATAAAATTTCGTCATTATCAAAGCTGATAAGGAGGAAGAAGGACCCAAACCAAACAAAACCCAAGACCTTTAAATGCATTACATTAATATTTTTTCTTTTTTTCTCCACCAATAGCCATAAAGCAAACACCTGAATTAGAGCTCTATGAAGTAGTTCGTCCTAAAAAACTACACATTTTACACAAAAGGGAGATACAGAACAACCAGACAGAGAATGGCAAAGAGGTAAGTAATGTGAATGATAGTGGGATTTCACAATCAGAGAGCCAATAAAAAGCCTTTTTACTAATAGAGGTGATGCCTAACAGTTTATTTTTGAAGCCCATATCCACAGCTCCTCTTTGTCCAGGAACGAATGCAGGATTCTAGGAATGCTTTTACATTCAAGCAGTAGGAAGAGAGTTAACTATTTCACTTGATCAGAAAAAATAAAGCTGCTTAGACATTTCTCGGTTTGGAGGTTAGGGGGAGAGCACAGGAAGGGAAGCCATTTCTAGAAAGAAATGTTTCTTGCCAAGTTCACCAAACAGTATCCTCACCTCCTGCCCCACAGAATTGCCTTTTCCTTGACCATTTTGCTTATAATGGAGAATTCAACATTATCTCATTAATTAGCAAGATTTACAAAATATATTAAAGATATTAACTCTTTGACTCTTACATTGTTGCAAATACTTATAATTTTTACCTTAATTCCTAGTAGTTCTTAGTTGGTTTTCTTTAGTATATTTTGTTTGGTTTTTAAAGTAAGAAAAATATGTGTCTTATTATTAAACCATTAGTGATCCATTAGGATACACAGGACAGTATACTGTACAGTAGGGCAAATAATAAGTTCCTATCTTACATAGTAGAGTTAGTTTAATCTGTGAGTATTATTACTGAATTATTATACTTTTTGGAAATCCATCTTAATGTACAATTTGTATTTTATTTTATATATTTTAAATATATAAGAGAACTATTTTATACTACAGGCACTTGTAATTATTCTTCTATATATACTATGTGTATCATTGTATTATAATCATTTTAGATAGACTCAGAAATATAAATTGATATCAGTATATTATTAAATATTTTTTAGGAAAGATATGAACCTGAACTTCAGTATCAGATTACATTAAATGGAGAAGAAGTTGTTCTTCACCTGCAAAAAAGCAAGTAAGTTGTAGTTCCTGAAGGTCTAATCACTAGATTATATTAACAGAATATGGAAAAATAAACCTTATTGAGTCTCTATTTAATGCTATTTGAGGTAGAAGACATGAAACACTTTGAGTTTTAGATGTTATTAGATCGTGCTAATGTTAGCTAAGAAGGTTGTTGCTTTCTAAGGAAATTACATGCAAAGTATAAAGCAAAGAGAGCAACACAGATAAATATTTTTCTTCCTTAATATTTCTCCCAATTTACTGAAAATCTTTTCTACCCATATGAACTCAAATTTTTGACGTGGCTTCCTATTATTTTTATAAGAACGTATGTAAGGGTCATTTAGGGCACAGAGCCTTGAGATAGATCCCTGGGGATGGGGCTCCACTAAATTCTACATCTGTTAGTAAACTTCTCCCTGATAACAATGGTCTTTTATGCATGTTAGTCTTTGACGCAAAGAATACCAAAATAACCCATTTGAGGATAGAGAATTTGCAGCTGAAAAGTATCTGGGGGCAATTCTTCCCTTGAATCTAATGGGCATAATTAATACTTTGACTTGCTTCAGCAACAGAGTTCCAATGTTGGAAAAGGATCAATGAGTCAGCATGTCTGCTGTTTCTCAATGTAGGCATAATCATTCTTTCAGTACGAAAGATCTTGTCAGGAACATTAGCCCTTATTACCACCCTAAATGTACCTTGCAACTTTTTGAACTTTGCAGACATCTCCTGCGGCCAGACTACACTGAAACATATTACTCACCCACAGGAGAGGAAATCACTACAAGCCCTCAGAACATGGTAGGTTCTGAATACTTTCTGGGACTCTTTCTAGGATCTGCCACTTATGTTGTAAGATGCATAGGTCCAAGGACAATTAAAAAAGAAATTGAAGTACTTGGAAACAAGGTGCTTGTCTATGACCAATGAGACAACAGATGAAAAGATGAAAAAATCACAGTCAGCTTTTTTTTAAAGGTAAGGATAGTAGGAGGCTTCCAAGTACTGCATTTGTAGAAGCAACCACAAGTCCACTTTCCTCTAAACCATCTTATCAAAAGGTTAGAAATATTCTGCTGGTAGCTACTTGAAACATCATATAGCTATTTACTATTTTTGAACAATATATGTATATATACTGAGGTCAGAAAGGGAATATTAATTATTTAATTAATATAATTTTATGTCTCATTAAACCACCATGCCATAGATAATGCCAAGGCCTAGCTGTCAGACATAGAAAATCAATGCCAAGGTAAGAACAGGAAGAGAATACAAAAAGACAATCATGGAGTGTTACCAAGCTAAGTGAATTTCTCAGAGCCACTCTCCTTGGGCACCCCCAAACATGTGTGTCTCTATGAAAAGGCAAAACTTCTGTCACAAAGTGGCTCTTTGTTCCCTTCTCACATAAAATCTCTGGTTTCATGGATATCTGGATTTTTGCTAACACTTAAATTAATTCATACTCAAGTGTGAATGGCTGATATCTTAATTTGGTATCTTTTCCAAGTGCTCTACAAGAAAATGTTTATGATGACAAGGTTTATTCCAAATCAAGAAAAACATAGATGGAATTTCAGACCCTAAAACAAGTCAGTTTATTTTGAACAAGAGTTTATTCAATAGCTTTGTTGGATCATTCTACATGTGACCCCCTACTTTGCTTATATGGAGCACCAACCATGTATGACTCTCTAGTTGTGAATAAATTTGCTGTGGTTTTGATGCTGGTAAAGGGATTCCACTAACATGCCAATTAAAATGACAAGTTGGACCAGCCCCATGAGGGGCTTAGGAGTGGTAGTGTGACTTCTTGAGAACCCTGGAATCTAGAAAAATGGGTACCTCGTTTTATTAATATGTGATGCACAGTGTCTTAGGGACTCACACAGGGAAGCCATATTCTCAAAAGAGGGTCTTCAAACCTGAGAGCTCTCTGGAAGTACTGTCGATCCCAGGAGGGCTGGGCCCTTCTCAGATGCAGCAACTACTTTCACCATGAGCCCACTTAAGTTCACACTCCTTGGACTTTTCTATCATGCAATTAATGCCAGAAAGACAATTCAGCCATCAAAGATGGAATTTCCAGGGTCAGTAGTGGAACAGGTCATAAAATCTCTGAAGTTCTCACTGTTTTTGTTTCTGGTAACTGGTCTGGCTGCCACCACTATTTGAAGAACCTTCCTATGTATTCAAAATAACAGCTTTCACCACACTGTGATATGTTTATTCTTATAGTTAAAAAAATATATTTCTTTCCCATCTTTAGGAACATTGCTACTATAATGGACACATACTAAATGAAAAGGATTCTGTTGCCAGCATTAGTACTTGTAATGGGTTGAGGTGAGTCACTTGCAAAAATGTTAAACATTAAGTACAATTCTATTACACAGAATTGAGTCTTCCTGGATGTCATGTCTTATTATCTTGGTGAAATCTTCTGCATAGATAAAATGCTGTTAAAATGAAGATTAAAGTATCACACTTGCAATCATTTTATAATTATGTTTAACATAATTTTTAACAGTGTATGCATTCACATGCACATGCACGTGTGTGATATTTCTGTTTACAAAAATAATTCTTGCCAATTAGGGAAAATTTAGAAAGTAAGAAAAAATACAAATAAGAAAATAACTACCACAAAATTCTGCTTAGGAGTGACTACTATCATTAACATTTTGTCATGTTTGCAGCCTTTATGCATATAAACATATATCTTTTACATGGTTGAAATATGAAATAAAATATATATAATTGTTCCTCTAACATAGTTCATGCCACGTGGTATCATAAGCCTTTTCCCATATCATAAAATGCCTTCATAGACGTAATTTTTAATGACTATCCATGCTGTATTTGTAGTCCTCTGTCATACGAATTCACTTTATATTTCTGAACTCATTTTCTTAGTAAAAAGAAGAATTCTTTAAACTACTACTAGTTCCAACCTGTTCCTCTGGCTGATTTGCTCATGATTCTTTCTCTCCTCTGGGGTTAAACACTTCTTTACTCTGTCCTCCATGATATTCCTAGGACCTGCCAAGAAATGTTTGCTAAGTGTATAAATAAACTATGGACAACTATTTATTGAGCTTATGATATAAATTCTAAATTCTCTGGGATAAGCTTCATCTTAGCAATTCTTGTTCAGAATTTTCTAGTAAATAATATAGACTTCATTTTACTATTGACAAGTACTGATTATAACTTAAATTAGCAAAAGTTAGCTGGAAAGCCTATGCATGAAAACTGTATGTGTGAGCTTATGATTTAGGGAGAGGTATATTCTGTTCTGGTCATTATTGTGACTCTGTGTGGCAGAGAATCTTGAAATATGAGTCTCTGTGTCTTACAGGGGATACTTCACACATCATGACCAAAGATATATGATAAAGCCTCTGAAAAGCACAGACCAAGAAGAACATGCTGTCCTCACATACAACCAAGAGGAGATAGACCTGGCTAATCGCACTTGTGGTGTAAGAAGTGTTGGCAGGAAACAAGGCCATATTCGAACTTCCAGGTCACTCAATAGCCCAGAGGTAAGTGTATATTTCCTATGTCATCGTTTCTTCCAATTATCTCAACAATGATATATGGTATACCATTGTGTTCAACAGTTACTGCAAAGGTAAAGCCTATAATTCACTTACTTATTCTTTAACTTAATTTCCCTCTGGAAAAAAAATCTCATTGCAAGTTTTTCAATCTTTTAGGATAAAGATGATTATTAATGATGTTATTTTACTCTTTGTAAAGCAAGAAGACTTTCTTCAGGCTGAGAAGTACATTGATCTCTTGTTGGTGCTGGATAATGCTTTTGTGAGTATGTATGCTTCTTGGGCAGTTAAGTCAACTTTTAAGTTTTCTTATCAAATGAGCAAAGGAAATAAGCTATCCTAGCTGAAAATGCACTCTGGCCACCTGATTGTCACATCTTTTCTACCTGCCTTGCTGCCAGTAGTTCTCATTCACTCTCCAACCCTTTAATATCCACCTGCTGCCAATATATTCAGATACTGGAAGTATACTTAATACCAGATAGCTATAAGAAATCAACCATAATGATGAAAAGCAAAAAAAGAATGGGTTATTAAAATATTTTCAAAATTCTCACCCTATTATGTAAATATAGAGTAGATACAAGACTATATATATTTTACAAATTATATTTATATCCATAAAAATACTATAATCTGTGATCCTAAATTAGCAAATATTGCTTTATAATCAAATTTTAATAATATTGAAATGGTTAGAAATATTGAAATTGTTAATTTGATTTCTTCAACTTAAAATGAAAAACACTGAAATATATATGATGCCTACTTTTTTTCTTACCTTTAAAAAGAATTTGTTGAAACACAGTGTTATATAAGTCAGACATGAATGAAAAACATTTACTTATGTTGAAATGTGTAATTTTTCTTAAAATGTTAAATCCTGTACCACGTCAACTTTTTTTTATGTTTGTATTTCATATTTTACAGTATAACATGTATAAGGGAAACCTGACTTTGATAAGAAGCTTTGTGTTTGATGTGATGAACCTACTCAATGTGGTAAGATATTTGTCCTGTAAACATGTACTTCCACATAGAAGCTTGGGGCTTCTCTATGGTTTCACCAAGTAAGGAGGTGGGAGGGTCACAATGGCTTAATGTCAGGAGTTTTGGGAAATTTAGCAGGCAAGTATTAACATCAAGGTAAAATCACTTGTACTATAGCAAAAGCAACTTCTAGGATTTCTATTTTCAAAACGTGATACACTTATCCATCACTTATGGTGAACAAAAGATTTAAGACAATGAAGAAATCTCAAACATTTTCATGAAAAAAAAAAATGCTCTTCCCACAGATTTATAATACCATAGATGTTCAAGTGGCATTGGTAGGTATGGAAATCTGGTCGGATGGTGATAAGATCAAGGTGGTACCCAACACAGGTGACACCTTTCACAACTTTCTGAATTGGCATCGTTCTAACCTGGGGAAAATGAGGATACATGACCATGCACAGCTACTCAGGTGAGCATATGCTGACCAGGGCCAGGTGTATGAAGGTAGGGTGGAGAATTATCCCAAAAGGTTCTTGGCAGAGATTTCTGTTCAATCGTATCTCCCCAATCTGTTGTCAGAGAGGCTGAAGTTCTACCATTAGGAATTCACCTGTAAGAATGTGGAGACCCATGTCAGGTTTACTAAAATGGACTCCTGGATGTGGTGATCATCTGTGATCATATAATGCTATGGAATAGCAGAAGCTTTTCTGGAGCCTAGTGAATATAAAAAGGGTGGAGCAACATGGGAAATCTAAAACATAATTGACAAAAGCTAATGGTTCCAAAGACTCAGATTGTGACAATAGACCTGTAATTTTCACACAGTGGAAATGGCTTCAGCAATGGACGTGTAGGAATGGCAGCCTCGAATTCCTTGTGTTCCCCGGCTTCCATTGCTGTTATTGAGGTTTGTAAACTCATAGTAAGGCTCCCTGTGAGTCTGTGTCCTCTATGAAGACCAGAATTATGCCTCATACAGAGTTAACACAAAGAATGTTTGCTGAGTCAGTAAATAGAAGTAGAAATGAACCTACTGGTAAATCGTTACACTGAAGATACCTTAGATTATAAAACAGAATATCTCCTTACATTGGCCCGCCCAGAAATCTTCATTCTTTGGTTGGTATTAGGGAATAAGAACAGGAAGATTGGAACAGAAAGGGAACCCAGATGCCCTCTGTGGCCTGAGCCAACTTCAAATTAATTATCTTCAGTATAAATGCTCAGAGAGGTCGGAGAAGGTACATTTTGGTGTCATATGGCCAAGTACTACCAATGTCAAGCATTATGACAATAGGTTTTGGAGGCCTTTGAATACATAGTATGGTACTTCTTATGAAGAATGTAATTACCTTAATTTACTCATCATTTACCAAGAACTCCTCATTAGCTCAGAAAATATTTATTGAGCATTGATTCAATGGTTGGATTCACAGGAGCCAGACATTTCAAATGTTAATTCAACATTTTACAATAGCCCATGACAGGAAAAGGAGCTTAATGACTCATTATTTTTCATCTGTCGAACTATTTTATTAAACTAGGAAATAACTGAGTATAAGTAATAGATGTTTCTTTTTTTTTTTTTCTAGGCTAAGAAAAAGAATAATGTGGCTCTTGTAGGAGTGATGTCACATGAGTTGGGTCATGTCCTTGGTATGCCTGATGTTCCATATTATACCAAGTGTCCCTCAGGGAGTTGTGTGATGAATCAATATCTGAGGTGAGACCTTGTCACCCTTGGGAAAAAATATGTATTTCTTAAATCTTAAAGAATTCAGATGCAGTCTATATAGTGAATGGGTATTTTTTACCAAGGGCTGTGAATCCCATTAATTCACCCTATAGACTCTTGATGCACAGGTTTTACCAGCTTATCAGGGTTAATTATTTAAGATTTCCAAATATGCCAAGTTAGAGATTATGAGTATAGTAACCATGTTATTTTAACTTAAAATAATTTTAACATTAAATAACATATTTTTAAATAATAGCCAAGACATGAAAACAACTTATGTATCCATCAATAAATGAATGGATTAAGAAAATGCTACACACACATACACACACACACACAGTGGAATATTACTCAGCCACAAAGAAGAATGAAATCTTGCCATCATGTCAACATGGACGGACCTAGAGGGTATTATGCTAAGTGAAATAAATCAAACAGAAAGAGACAAATATCACATTATTTTACTTATAAATGCAATCTAAAACATAAAACTAATGAACAAACAGACAAAAACAGAAATATACCTATAAATACAGAGAACAAACTGGTGGTTGACAGTGGGGTAGGGGGATGGGCAAAATAGATGAAGGGGATTAAGAGGTACAAACTTCTATTAAATAATAATATGTTTTCTAAAAATATGTATCTAATTAAGATGATGACAACATTCTTATATATCTTCATCACTAATCACTAAACCATTTTTATGTTATTAATTAGCTTCTAATGCCAGTCACTTTGCAAGGACTTAGGATAGAAAAATAAAAAAGAATACCTTGCTCTTAAAGTCCTCATGAGTAGGAAGATAAATATATCCAAATATATCCTAAGTCTGCAATTATTCCCTTTCATTAATTCATTATTATTATCTCTTACCTCTCAGCCCTCGGTGGTGATCACAAATGGTGAGGCTCATTCATCATTCCTGCCATTTAGGACAGTACTGAATCCACACAGGAAATTCTTCCAGTTCTACAAACTCAGTGTTTAGGGAAACAATTTTCCAACTAGCGTAGTATTTATGCTCTTTCGCCCTCCACATATAACATAGTGCAGTCTTAAACAGATATTGAATTTGGAATTTCCATTGAACCAGGTGATATAGTTAGACAAGTCAGATTCTCATGTTAATTTATCACTAGATTTCATGATTTCTCTTCTGGTTACAGTTCAAAATTCCCGAAGGATTTCAGTACAACCTGCCGTTCACATTTTGAGAAATACATTTTATCTCAAAAACCAAAGTGCCTACTGCAAGCACCAATTCCTAAAAATATAATAACGAAACCAGTGTGTGGGAACCAACTTCTGGAATTAGGAGAAGACTGTGATTGTGGCTCTTCTAAGGTATGAAAATCTGCAATTAAAAATTTATTAGAGAGTTATTGCAGCATGAGAATTATGCTGTTTTCTTTTTCTTTTCCTTCTTCAAGGAATGTTCTTTTGGAAATTCTTTCTAAAGACAAACATGGCATCATGGTAAAAAAAATAGGCTTGCACTTGAGGTTTTCTTCATTTTTTTTTTTAAGACTTTATTTATTTATTTATTGAGAGAGAGGGTGCAAACTAGGGGAGGGGCAGAGAGGAGGGAAAGGGAGAGAGAGAGTATCCTAAGCAGACTCCACACTGAGCACAGAGCCCTAGATGGGGGCTCCATCTTGCAACCCTGAGATAATGACCTAAGCTGAAACCAAGAGTCAGATGCTCATCCTACTGAGCCACCCAGGTGCCCCACACATGTGTTTTTAATACTGATTTTAGACACATTTTGAAAGGCATTTCAAAAGCCAGGATACGCTTATGACATGATTGTATAAAGTTCAATGTAAAGAAATAAATCGTTAACCATAACATGTCATTTACAATCTTTCCTAGACATATTGGTCAGAAATTCTTAAATCATCTAAAGTCACAGTTGATCATTTGTTGAGCAAAAACACTTACAGATCTAGAAGCAAGTTCTCTCCATAGAGAGATCAGGCCTTTCCTCACCGAGCCAGTGTATAAACCAGGCAGGAAATGAAACAGAGAAGGAGAGAAAGAAAAATCACATAAACCTGTAGAAAATAGGTTATTAATATAAAACATCTAAGATAATTACTATAATTCTGCTAATCTTTATAAAAATCTGGCCCTGCAAAGTATCAATGTACTGTAAAGAATGTCTCTGATAAATATTTGCCAGCAATTCCACACTAGTTTCTAAGACAACATTCTGAGTTCCTAGCAATCTTCTTTTACTTTTAAGACTGAAAAAATGAGTTACTATTTGAAGAGATTTTTTTATGTGTCAATCTGCAAAATAAATTTTTATGTACACCATATCTCCTTTATTACTCACAGCAAACCTACAGAATGGGTTTTGTTATTATCCCAATTTAGAGAAGTAAAACTCAGAAAAGTTAAGTAACTAGTTCCAAAGATCCAAAGCCAGTAATGAATGAAGCCTGTGGTAACCCAAGATTAATTCATTACTTTAAGAGGCCACATGACAATGGGGAGAGCGTATAATCTCTCTCTGCTTCAGTTATTTATTCAGACTTTTTAAACTGTTGAATTACATTAGAAGATTTCATAGTGTAACTTAATCATTTGTAAAGAGTATTACAAATATTCTTTTAATTATAATGAAATATGAAATAATACAAATGATTTGGTGCTTTATAATAAGTTAGATATAAATTTATCTCATTCCTACTTGCTTGCATTCCCATATGGCTTCTTAGGTGAAAGGCATTTGAAGTTGTTCACAATCCGGGGTACTTCTGATTTCAGCAATCCCAGGGCCTGTAGTCAGTGCACACTGACAAAGAGAGACAGAGAGAGAAAAACACTTGATGTGTAGGGTTTAAAATTGTCTAAGTATATCAGCCAGCTCCTGTATTGCTTCCATTTTGTGTTGATTTTCTTCTTAAGGAGTTGAATAAAACTAGAGTTCAGGCTTATGAGCAGCTGAATTTTATATAGCTGTTTTCCTACCTAAAAACTAGTTTGTAAACTTTATATAGTATCTTTTAGTGAATAATCCAATTTTCCATGATCTCATATGCTATTTTACTATTTTTATGTACCCATTTAGGTCTATTTCTAGATCTTAAAAACAAACATTCTGCTGATCTACCTAGATATTATCACACACTATTTTAATGACTTTAACCATGCAAAGCATTTTAATATCTGCAGTGGCAAGTGTGTTCATTTCTTTTTTTTTTCATTATTATGTTATGTTAATCACCATACATTATATCATCAGTTTTTGATGTAGAGTTCCATGATTCATTGTTTGCATATAACACCCAGTGCTCCATGCAGAACGTGCCCTCTTTAATACCCATCACCAGGCTAACCCATCCCCCCCTCCCCTCTAGAACCCTCTGTTTTTCAGAGTCCATCATCTCTCATGGTTCGTCTCCCCCTCTGATTTCCCCCCCCTTCATTCTTCCCCTCCAGCTATCTTCTTCTTTTTTTTTTTAACATATAATGTATTATTTGTTTCAGAGGTATCTGTGATTCAACAGTCTTAAGTGTGTTCATTTCTTGAGGTGGAATTTGCATCATCATTCTTCAGTGTTCATTCTCCCATATAGCTCTTGGCACTTTTTTTTTTTTGGCAGTTTGCTCACAAATACAATTGAGATCCTGATTGAAATGCATGAAATTCATATTTCTCTCTGAGGGCCACTGGGATTTTCACAATGTGATTGTTTTATTGTTTTAAAGGTTTTATTTATTTGAAAGAGAGGGAGACAGCAACAGAGAGAGCGAGAGAGAGCACAAGTGGGGTGAGGGGCAGAGGGAGAAGCAGACTCCCCGCTGAGCAGGGAGCCTGATGTTGGGCTCGATCCTGGAACTCCGGGATCATGACCTGAGCCAAAGGCAGATGCATAACCGACTGAGCCACCCAGGCACCCCACAATCTGATTGTTTTAAAAGACTAGTTGTCTTTTGAGTTTCTCAGAAAAGTTAAATATAAAGTTCTTCATGTAGTTCTTGCATATGATGAAGCTTATTCTGAAGTATTTTCTATTTTTATTTTTGCTATTAGTGTGTGTAATGTTTACCTTTTTATATTAGGTTCTACTTTATTACTCCTTTTGATGTTATTTTATTATTACCTTAAAAAGTGATCTTAGTGACTCATCCATTGTTTTTAGAGTTGATTCTCTATTTTTTCCTTGGTCAAATATTTTATTACATATAAAGAATGAAAATGTGATTTATACTTTCCAATTATTATTATACTTTCATATCTTTTCTTTTTCTCACAGCATTTGTCAGAATTTTCATAAAAATATAGACTATAAATAATCCATGTCTTACTGTTTATTTTATTAGATATATTCTTGCTATTTATCAGCCAGATTTTCTTTCTTTATAGATTATCTTTATTTTCTAATCTTTGCCATCTATCACAATAATATTAGTTGTTTTCTACCCTCAGTCTCTTAATGTGATGGATGATATTACTTTATTCTGTATTGTGGAGACACCCTTGTATTTTTGGTGAAAAAAAAACACTGCATAGTTGTAATGGAGAGTTATTATATTAATAAACTGCTGTTTTGTTAATATTTCATTCAAGCTTTTGCATTTATATTCAAAAATGAGAATTATGTATGTATATGTATGCGTGTGTGCATGTGTATATGTATGGATGCATGTGTATACATATGAATGCACATGTGCATGTATGTAGGTGTGTATGCATGTGTATTTGTGTAAGTGCATGCGTGTGTGTGTGTGTGTGTGTATTCATTACCAGCTCTCATTATCAGAATTATGCAGGCTTAGTAAAATAAATTGAGAATTTTAAATTTTTTTCCTACCTTCAAATAGTTTGAATAGCAGAGAAATATTCTCTTGAAGTTTTAAATTAATTTACATGTAATATCATTTAGGCCAAATTTATTTGTGGTAATTCTTGGATAAATTTATTTTTCTCCTTTTAAGAGGTAGTTTTCATTGCACTTAACATTATTTTCTATTTTTAAGTTTCCTTGGTCATTTCCTCTGGAATCTATATAGTGGAGTAATTTAGTTTAAAAACTGAAATTTTTTTGCTATCTTGTACTAAAATTGTATGCACATGGTCTATAGAAAAAATGCTGAACCCACTTTTTCATTGTGTGTATCTTCTAAAGGAATGTTCCAATCCTTGCTGTGAGGCCATGACCTGTAAATTAAAATCTGAAGCTGATTGTAGAAGAGACACTCTGAACCATATCACGTAAGACCTTTTTTCTCTTTTTTGTTTCAAAATATTTTCTCATTTTTATTTCAGATTTGAGAAAGATGCACCACTGAGTTCTGCAATACACTAAACACAATTTACTTCACATTTTTATTTATTAATTTTTTGAAATTTTTTATTATTTATTTTTAAATTTTTTTTACTTCACATTTTTAAAATAATTCAGTTTCAGAAAGGAAAAAAAAAGCCACCATACTGAACAAAAACAACTCAAGGTTGTGTGTATACTAATATGCTAATGAGAAAAGTAGCTACATGGTCATCTGTGAGATGTGAAATTAAGACTGCTTAAATCTATGCTAAAAACTATAAATTTCTGTTAGGTCGTGATGAGTTTAATACAAACTAAGATGAGAAAAAGAAAAGTTCATTTTAAAAAACCCTCTGTTGATGAGTACATTTTACTCTTGATTAAGAGCTGATAATTGTAACTTACAAGGTAGTCAGAAAATCAATAACATTTAAGAATATATACTATATGATTCAATGGTTTTACTTCTTTTAAGGTGTTTCAATAAGCTATAATCCATGTATTTTGTGTTTTATAGAATCATATATAAGTTGGGCTAGGGAACTCAACTGCTCTGACTGAATACAGTATTTGTTTCAGTGAAAAACAGTCTCTGAACAACAAAGAATCATAAATGGGGAAAAACTTGGGATAAAATATATGGAAAGTGTTATTACTCCCCACCCCCTTCCCTGAATCTTTTCTGGAATTGAACCTGCGAGACATTATAAAGGGAATCATTGACTCAGACACCATCAACTATCACTTCCTTAAGAAAGGATCAGCCAGGTCCTAAGACCAGGAGCAGCATTCATTCCTTTGGCAAGCCCCATTTGACACGGCCTGTTGAACCCCCTGTGTGATCCACTCTGCAGGGAATTCTGGAAATTATGCTCATCTTCTTATTTGGTCACAGACACAAAAACTTAGCATCTAAAAAAATATCCATTCAACCCCTCAGGGGCTTGGAATAATAAGTGGGCAAGTCCCATTACTGGGCAAGATTGGCAATCTAGTGTCATGGAAAGGAAATTGGACTTGAACTCAGGAAACTTCAGTTCTTTTCTTAGTTCTACCCAAAACTAGCTGTGGGACTTCAAATCAAGTTATTTAATGAGTGTTCTCACCTACAAAATGGAGCTAGTGCTGTTGTCACTCAGTAGGGTTCTTAGTATTATTTAAATTTTATAAATGTTATCAATGTTACATAATATTTTATAATTTGTAATAACCATGGCTTACAATTTTTTTTCTTTTAATCAGACAATGAATCAAAAAATCTACTTCATTGAAATGCTACTTGCTAGGACAAGAATCAAGAAATCTAAACAACCAGGAATCTTGTACTTAGATATATTTTGCTTTTCACTTGGCATTATACTTTTTACATTTTTATCAGTCCGGCCAACAGGTAAATGTACTCAGTGAAATTGCCTGTTTTCTAAAGCCTGATCCTTAATGTATTTTTAAGGATGGGAAAGGTTGTTGCCTAGCTTTGCTCTTTGGAGAACGAAAGAAATTAACCCTTGACCAAAACCCCTCAAATTATGCAAGTTCAAGTCAGAACTGTAAAATTACCAGTGGCTTGTGTTTTTACCCCACGGTCATTTTACTAGTATAGCCCATGACAAAATAAGACCCCCTGAGTGGGGCGCCTGGGTGGCTCAGTTGGTTAGCGACTGCCTTCAGCTCAGGTCATGATCCTCACGGTCCTGGGATCGAGTCCCGCATCGGGCTCCCTGCTCTGCGGGGAGCCTGCTTCTCCCTCTCCCACTCCCCCTGCTTGTGTTCCCTCTCTCGCTGTGTCTCTCTCTGTCAAATAAATAAATAAATAAATCTTTAAAAAAAAAAAAAGACCCCTTGAGTGAAGCCTTTGGCAGAAGAAGGGAGAACAGAATTCACGTGTCATGTACTGATCCTCAATATTCCACTTCCCTTGCTCTTCGAAGTGTGATAGTTGTCTGTATCACATCAAGATTAATTAAACATAAACATTTTTCATTTTGTCATGTATAATCCTCTCACCATCACATATAAGTGTTAATTTTGAGAAGTCTTAATGCTCACAATTTAGCTTAACCATCAAGGAATGCTTCATTCATCTGTTGATTTAACATACCCCATAATGTCAATGAATAAAACCACAACTTTTTGAGCCTCTTGTGTGTGGTCATTTTCAAAAATAAATATTTTGGAGTTATGTTGTAGCTTTGCGTTAGGTGTTAAAGTCTCACATGATGAATTTGACTATTTTTCCTATGGTCCTCTAACCATATTGCCACAGAAACCAGGCATCACAATATGGAGATGAATAAAGTTCACATCATCTTTTAATGCCCAAAATGAAAAGACTTGAGGCCAGTCACATAAGAAGATGAGACTTCTTCCTGAGGTTTCTTTTTTTAAATACTTTTTAACAATTACTCAAAAAAATTACTCAAAATTCCACTGATGTTTATACTGGGAGAACAGAAACTAAGACATACTTCTAAAGATTGGGCTTTGAAAAGAACAACCTTCCAGAAAGCCCTGCTTATGGGTGTCACTTATCTCCCCCTTCACTGCCTCACTATTATTGCTGGGCTTGGCACCACCAAGGCTAAAGCAGAAGCTGCTTGTCCGATGTCACTGAGAGCCATGCTATAGCCCGCAGGCTTGAACTGTCAATATTTTTGGATACAGACTTCCAGCCAATTCTTCCAGGGCAAAAAGGTTTCTTTTGGCATATTTCCTTCTCCTACTTCATGCTCAAGTAAAGGTTTCTTATACTAAAACTGCCTGAGTTGCAAAAATTATAGACAGTGAGTATGTGTCAATTGTTAGATTTTCAGGAATATTATGAGCTGGTTATGAAACACAGCCATTACTCAAAACCATCCTGTACAAATTTATAATTAAATAAATTATATTAAATGTTATGGAGTTCTCAGAGGCTTCTCAGAGTTCTTCAGAGAAACAGAATATATATACATATATATAATGAGATGTATGTATTTTATGTACTTAACCATGGGTGTGTAGGTATGTATTTTATTACATACATTATTCATTATATATCATATATGCATATACATATTTATAGAGAGATTGAGATTTATTATGAAGAATTACTTATTACAAGGAATTTGCTCACACGATTATGAGCTCTGAGAAGTTCCAGAATCTGCCATCTGCCAGCTGGAAAACCAGAAGAGCTGCTGGTGTAATTTAGTCCAAGGGCAGAAAATGAGGTGGAATGTCCCAGCTCAAGTAGGCACACAGGAAACAAAAAGAGTGAGTTCTTCTTTCTTCTGCCCTTTTTTGTCTTCAGTGCCTCAACAGACTGGATGACATGCACCCACGTGGAGAAGGGCAATCTGCTTTACTGAGCTCACAGATTTAAACATTAAGCTCATCCAGAAACACCCATACAGACACACCAGAAATAATGTTTAATCTGGGCACCTCAGGGTGCAAGCAAGTTGACACAGTTAATCATCACAAAAGCAAAGGGCATACTCAAAACTCATGACTTCCTATTACACTATATTTTAACCTATGCTCTTCTGAGTTTAGTTCTACCACAGCTGTGTGTTGCCAGTCTATCCACCCACACGGGGCATATAGCAACCATACACCTCTACTGCACGTTAAGTGATGTCACACTGGTAGCTTGAAATGGGCTGTGGTGGGAAAATTATATTACAGAAATAAGCAAATGCTATTAATCGTTTATTGATTTGCTTATGTCTATACTTAAGAAAGTGATGGAAAAATTTATACTGCAGATTAAATTTTTTTAAATGAGTTGTTATAGCAATTTTATGTGAATAGCATAAAACCCTGAGATACTACTCCTTCAGTATTTGAAAACTCTTGTCCAGTTCAACAAAGAAGTTACATCTTTGACAAATAAGTGAAATTCATTGTCATATGTTATATGTATATACATGCAGCCATTTCTCCAAGGCATATCAGTGTAATCAGAATAGGATGGATTCTATTAGCCTAGAAATATGATCATGAATCTGTCTCCACGCTCTTCTCCCTTACTGAGTAAGTCCAGGTATATAATCTGGTCTTTTTCTCTACCTTTTAGTGTTTTGTTTTGTTTTACCTAAAAGATCCCTTGTGTCTTTCTGAAATTTGCCTTGATCAGGGCTACTCCAGCCTATCCAACATGGAATTATACCTATAAACTTCAAAGGAAAGCAGTCAGGATACTGGTTCTTTTCCACCCTCAAAGAATGTTCTTCCTCAGTTACTTGAGACAATATATAGATATTTGGGCTGCAGAATGAGGAAAAGAGGGCCCTTCCAAATTTTACTTAGTAACATCCAAGCTTCAAAAACTGGAGTATATCATGCGGAAGGGGGACAACACCTAACTTGAGTGGCTTCAGGCTCTAAGTTTCAAGCCTTAGTTTAGTGAAAAAGACCTATTACATAATTTTCAATTTCTTAATGATTCTTCATTTATCATGGAAAGATATGCATCTTCCAAAAAGGGTCCTAGAGATTTGGTAACAGATACAGTTGTGTATAACTGTCATATCACCAAAAACCAGTTTAAATGAAACTTTTCCCACAGAATTTGTCAGGTGAACTATTCAGAAAACAAACACACACACACACACACACACACAAGCATTGCTATAATAAAGATTTAAGTACTCTTTTTGGAAACCTCCAGATGGGTGACATGTTGGTAGACCAAACATCTGAATAGTTTCCTTTTGATGTTTGGAAATATGCATACAGTCTAACAGTAAAATGTGATGTGTTTTTATCATCTAGAAATTCTTTTAAAAGCATAATTCTGTTTCCAACCAAAGCAAAATCAAAAGACTACCGTATATCTGCTCAGGGTTATAAGTTTTTCAAAGTATTTTTACATCTTTTAACTAGTTTGAGTCTTAATGAAAACATTAAGAGACAGGCATAACAAGTGTTATCTTACTGATTAAAATGATTTTCTGTGGATGGTGATGAGTGAAGAGACTCTGAAGTACAAAGACGGAAGAGTTTAAAGAGAGCTTGAGTACTCAAAATGACACTGCATGACAGATGAGGAAACAAAGACAGAGACAAAACAAAAGACCTTTGTGAGGGAAGTTGTATAATATATATTTTTGGAGAGGAAGAGAGAACAGGGACTGTGAGCACTTAAAAGGGGAAACTGAAATATTTTCTTTTTTTTTTTTATTCTTATGTGAATCCCCATACATTACATCACTAGTTTTAGATGAAGTGTTCCATGATTCATTGTTTGTGCACAACACCCAGTACTCCATGCAGAATGTGCCCTCCTCAATACACACCACCAGGCTATCCCATCCTCCCACCCCACACCCCTCTAGAACCCTGTTTGTTTTTCAGAGTCCATCGTCTCTCATGGTTCGTCTACCCTTCCGATTTCCCCCGCTTCATTCTTCCCCTCCCGCTACCTTCTTCTTCTTTTTTTTTTTCTCTTAACGTATATTGCATTATTTGTTTCAGAGGTACAGATCTGAGATTCAACAGTCTTGCACAATTCACAGCGCTTACCAGAGCACATACCCTCCCCAGTGTCTATCACCCAGTCACCCCAACCCTCCCACCCCACCCCCCACTCCAACAACCCTCAGTTTGATTCCTGCGATTAAGAATTCCTCATATCAGTGAGATCATATGATACATGTCTTTCTCTTTTTGACTTATTTCACTCAACATAATACCCTCCAGTTCCATCCACGTCGTTGCAAATGGCAAGATCTCATTCCTTTTGATGGCTGCATAATATTCCATTGTATATATATACCACCTCTTCTTTATCCATTCATCTGTCGATGGACATCTTGGCTCTTTCCACAGTTTGGCTATTGTGGACATTGCTGCTATAAACATCGGGGTGCACATACCCCTTCGGATCCCTACTTTTGTATCTTTGGGGTAAATACCCAGTAGTGCAATTGCTGGATCATAGGGTAGCTCTATTTTCAACTTTTTGAGGAACCTCCATACTCTTTTCCAGAGTGGCTGCACCAGCTTGCATTCCCACCAACACTGTAGGAGGGTTCCCCTTTCTCCGCATCCCCGCCAACATCTGTCGTTTCCTGACTTGTTAATTTTACCCATTCTGACTGGTGTGAGGTGGTATCTCATTGAGGTTTTGATTTGGATTTCCCTGATGCTGAGCGATATAGAGCACTTTTTCATGTGTCTGTTGGCCATTTGGATGTCTTCTTTGGAAAAATGTCTGTTCATGTCTTCTGCCCATTTCTTGACTGGATTCTTTGTTCTTTGGGTGTTGAGTTTGATGAGTTCCTTATAGATTTTGGATACTAGCCCTTTATCTGATATGTCATTTGCAAATATCTTCTCCCATTCTGTCGGTTGTCTTTTGGTTTTGTTGACTGTTTCCTTTGCTTTGCAAAAGATTTTTATCTTGATGAAGTCCCAATAGTTCATTTTTGCCCTTGCTTCCCTTGCCTTTGGCGATGTTTCTGGGAAGAAGTTGCTTCGGCTGAGGTCAAAGAGGTTGCTGCCTGTGTTCTCCTTTAGGATTTGGATGGACTCCTGTCTCACATTGAGGTCTTTCAACCATTTGGAGTCTATTTTTGTGTGTGGTGTAAGGAAATGGTCCAGTTTCATTCTTCTGCATGTGGCTGTCTAAATTTCCCAACACCATTTGTTGAAGAGACTGTCTTTTTTCCATTGGACATTCTTTCCTGCTTTGTCAAAGATTAGTTGACCATAGAGTTGAGGGTCCATTTCTGGGCTCTCTATTCTGTTCCATTGATCTATGTGTCTGTTTTTGTGCCAGTACCATGCTGTCTTGATGATGACAGCTTTGTAATAGAGCTGGAAGTCCGGAATTGTGATGCCGCCGGCTTTGCTTTTCTTTTTCAATATTCCTCTGGCTATGCGGGGTCTTTTCTGGTTCCATACAAATTTTAGGATTATTTGTTCCATTTCTTTGAAAAAAGTGGATGGTATTTTGATGGGGATTGCATTGAATGTGTAGATTGCTCTAGGTAGCATTGACATCTTCACAATAGTTGTTCTTCCAATCCATGAGCATGGCACGTTTTTCCATTTTTTGTGTCTTCCTCAATTTCTTTCATGAGTATTTTATAGTTTTCTGAGTACAGATCCTTT